ATAGCCAGGATACTGAAAATTGCTTCAGTAGCTTCTGTGTGCTCCATTTCTCCCTCCCCTCAAGTCTTTTTCTTTAAGGCCTAGTCTATACTAAGGGATAAGTTTGAATTAAGGTACGCAACTTCAACTATGTTTATTGCATACCTTAAGTTGAAGTATCTTAATGCAATTTTTGACACTGTCTACACTGCAGGAAGTTGAAGGGGGCACACTCTCCCTTCAACTTCCTTTACTCCTCATAGAAGCAGGAATACTGGCATTGATGGGGGCGCCCTCTCAGTTTGAATTAATGTATCTTCACTAGACCCACTAATTTGAACCCCAGAAGATTGACTGTGGCTGCTTCAATCATATCTGTAGTGTAGACATGGCCTGAGAGCCCAAACAGGAATGGTGACTAGAAAAGACCATGCTATCATTATTTTGCACACCAATTAGGCCTAATATCTGAAACAACAATTTGGTTCATGAATTTATGGATCCACATTCTCTTGTTTACTAAGGAAAATCTTAAAAGAGATATTAAAATGTGTCAGGAGACCTTTTTTGTAAGCTAATCTTTTGGTCTCCTTTTCACACCTTATCCAATCAACATTTATTATAAGTTTACTGTCATAGCTTATTAATATCTGCATAAATTTTAGAGAGCTCACACTTACATACATTTCTTGACCTAATTCTCAAAATACAGCCATCTTAATTTTAGTGGAGCAGCTCATTTTTTTTCATTAAAAGTCGATATACTTTTTTTTAAAAAAGGCAAACAATACGAATAAATCAATTATAAAAATTGCATTCAAAATGACAAAATAAAAATAATACAAAGCCATTTGTAAAAGTAACTATTCAAGAGTCCTTACAATGTTCACCTCTACAGGAAGATCTTCTTTTACTCTCTAATAATTAGAGATCAGTTTTAAGATGTAAAATGCTATGTTTTTATATCTTTTTCTTCCCAGGCCCCACTAAATATTTTACAGTTGGAAATTCTTTTTATTGGTGTAAATGTTCAGTCATTTCTTTCTTAATTTGAAGTCAACACTACACTCCATTTGAACACATTCTATAGTGCAACCACCTGTTAAGTTTATATCCTTTAGTCTGTTTTAAATTTGTAATCTCTCAATTTTATCACCAGTCCAGTTATGCTTATTTCATGAGACAGGGGAAACAAAAGCTCCTGACCTGCCTTCTCTATCCAATTCATTAAGTTTCTATTCCTAAGGCTATGTCTACAGTAGGAAGGTTTGATCACAAATGTGCTATCAACATGCAAAAGTCGGCAAAAGTGAAAACCAGACAAACTTCTTTTTCTGCCTCCCATTGTTGACATTTTATGAACATATTGTTAGCTCCCCTGTTGATAGACAGAGCAAAACAATGTGGGTACTCATCCTATAGTGCAGTGTTGTGGGAAGGCAGAGCTGATCCCTGCACTTCTTGGGATGCTCTCTAAGTTCTCCCGCAGCATTCTCAGTTGCTGGGAGCAGCATCATGAGTAGCTCTGTGAGCTCTCTGTGCTGAGGAATGTCAAAGCAACATAGCAGTCTTTCCACACTTCCCCCTGTAGAAGCAGTCTCCCTGCTGCTGTTTTTCTAGTGGGGTAGGATTCTAATGATTTACTCTTTTTGTTTGTTTCCAAATGGAGCAGCTCACTCAGTTGTCAGATACTTCCTGGAGCTTTGATAGGGGAGTGGGTGGGTTTTAGGATCTGGGAGGGAGTATGAGTATGGGTGCACAAGAGGATTCTGACCTGGATGAGAAGTGTTGGAGGGGATGCAGGGTTTGGGAGGGGGTTGTTACCTGGGGCAGGGGTGCAGGAGAGGATTCTGACCTAGAGGAAGGATGCAAGATCTGGGAAGGGTTTGTGACCTGAGGCAGGGTTGTAGGTGGGAGTGCAGAGTTTTTAGTGATGACCTGGGACAAGGGATCGGGTAGGGTGCCAGAGGCAGGTTCTGGCCAGCAGGTGCTTACCTAGGTGGCTCTGAGCCAGCAGCCCAGCGGGGCGTCAGGCAGGCTCCCTGCTTTCTTCACCACACAGAGCAGAAGTCAAACTGGTAAAGTGTTCTCTGTGCATTGTGTGTCCGGGGTAGAGGGCAGACTTCATGTTCTGTCTTTACCAGAGTCTACACTAGCTCTTTGTTGACAATAAAAAGAGGGGGAAACACAAAATCTCTTGTGGAGGTAGAATTTTTTAATTGCCAAAAGTGGGTATTTTCTGGACAAAAGTTGCATTGTAGTGTGTACGCTCTCACTGTTTTATCAACAAAAGACAGGTTTTGGTAACAAAACATGCCAGTATAGACAAGGCCTTAGTCTTGTGAACTCTTACCCAGAGCTTCAAAGGTACCAGATTTCAGTCTGAAGGATGCCTCTTCTGCTATGCTGCTGGCAAAATCTCAGGTAAAATTTCACAAATCTAAGTTTCACAAATCTAAGGCCAGACAAGTTACAATGCAGTAAATCACTTTCCAGTGCTGTACTTCCGAAGGCAGGTGGGGGGAATAATTTTTGATGGGGGGGCCCACTTTCAAAATTTGGTAAGTGGCCAAGAGCTGTGTTCTTCCATGATATTAATGGAGGAAGTGTGGGGTCTGAGATGAAGGTTGGGAGGACAAGGGAGTTCAGCGTAGGGGACTGGGATGTAGGAAGGGATGTGGGGTCTGAGAGGGAGCTTGTGTGAAGGAGGGGATTGTGATTAGAGGCAGGTGATTGAGTTTTAGGATCTGGGAGGGAGTATGAGTATGGGTGCACAAGAGGATTCTGACCTGGATGAGAAGTGTTGGAGGGGATGCAGGGTTTGGGAGGGGGTTGTTACCTGGGGCAGGGGTGCAGGAGAGGATTCTGACCTAGAGGAAGGATGCAAGATCTGGGAAGGGTTTGTGACCTGAGGCAGGGTTGTAGGTGGGAGTGCAGAGTTTTTAGTGATGACCTGGGACAAGGGATCGGGTAGGGTGCCAGAGGCAGGTTCTGGCCAGCAGGTGCTTACCTAGGTGGCTCTGAGCCAGCAGCCCAGCGGGGCGTCAGGCAGGCTCCCTGCTTTCTACACCACACAGAGCAGAAGTCAAACTGGTAAAGTGTTCTCTGTGCATTGTGTGTCCGGGGTAGAGGGCAGACTTCATGTTCTGTCTTTACCACAAACACGGCCCAGGCAGCTCCCATTGCCTGGTTTCCAGCCAATGAGTGCTGTGAGATTGTGCTGGAGGATAGGGTAACCACAAGAGGCCTGCCCTTCCTCCCTCCCGTGCCTGGAATGCAGAAAACACATGGCTCTGGCTACAGGCTGTTTTGGGTGGCATGTGGAAAGCAAGGGAGCCTTCCTAAGGATCCCGCTGGGTCAGATGTCAGTTTGATGGACCGGATTGAACCTGTGGACCATATTTTGCCCACTCCATTCAAAGATGTCCATACTGATAAGGTACCTAGTGTGCACGAGCTTCGCAGTTGCTGCAGTCTTGAGTAAACCACCTTGATGAGAAACATAGTGCTTGTTGTGCTCTGGATACAGTACTGGGGTGCCAGTGTGGACACCATGTTGTACTACAGTGCTGCGACAGGACTCCATTACGTGTACCACAATGCCATTTCTTGCCTCTCTAGTTATTGGTTTGAACTCTACTGCCCTCCTGTCAGGTGACCAGTTTTCAGACCTGCCCTTTGTAATCCTTTTGAATTTGTGTGCTCTTGGTACATCTTTCCAGGTGACCATGTCTGCTTCGCACACCAAAAGATCTACTTGGAGCCACATCAAGGTGCTTGATCTTGTCACTGTTTGGGGAAAGGAGCCAGTTCAGTCCCAGCTATGCTCCAGCCATGGCAATTATGATACCTATGGGCAGATCTTTAGATGGATAACTGAAAGGGTCCATGACCAGGATACACTGCAGTGCAAGATCAAAGAGAAGGAGCTGTAAAATGCCTACCACCAGACATGCCAATTTGGCACTGTGCCCAGGACCCAGAGCTTATATAACGAGCTGGGTGATATATTTGGGGTGACCCCACCTCAGCTCCAAAAATCCCTATAGATACTTCATGGTCTCAGGGACAATCCCAGAGTGGACAGAGGCAGGAGGAGAAAATCATGAACAATATTGCAGAAGGGGACACAGAGCCAGAGGACAAGAGCCAGAGGACGGCTCTGAGGCCACAGAATCCTGCAGTCAGGAACTATTTTTTATTATAGAGGAGGTTAGCCAGTTACAGTAGTTGAAGTAAGAATAAGAGCACGAGTAAAAGACTGCATGCCACCAAATGAATAAATGTATCGAAGGTGTCCTGCCTGCTCTGTTTTCCGATGGAAATAACTGTGCGCGTCTTACATTAAGCTCCCCGTAGGAGAGTTAGAACCTGGCGAGGGGAGGCGGCGACAGAGGAGTGGGGAAAACATGTGTCCGAAAATCTGATTGGTCGGATTTTGATGCAGTCCGTGAATACTTGAAAACCAGAGAAAGGTTTTCAAAAGAAAATGGCTGCGAACGTGAAGACGGCTTTTCCGGAGACCCCTCAGTTACAAGCTAAGGACAAATTGAACAGTACAGCTTGAAAGTAGCATTTCCTTTGCACATTTCACAGAGCCAGGCCATAGCGCCAGAAACCGCGAGGTTTCATTGCAATCCTAATTATAGCAAGCACGACTTTTTCATGGATTCCAAGGCCGGAAAGGGTCCTAGTGATCGTCTAGCTCTGATAGTGTATCTCGATATTACAAACGAAGGACTTATCCTCGATCGCGTCGAATCTATCTATTTTATCTCTTTTTTAAAAACTCAAATCTTGGGGAGTGTCACTTAGAGCAGCGCGCCAACAATGGCGAGTGGAGAAGGGAAGGGTGGGGAAGAGAGCAGGCTGAACAGCCCGCCTTTTTTCTTGTAAAACTCGCCCTCCTCAGGCAGCCGGAGGCAGGGCGGTGAGGTGGAAAACAGGGTCCATGCTCCGCCCCTTTCCTTCACGGTTCTCAATCAGGTCGGCTCCCAGATAATATACAGCGAGTACAGCGAACTGAAGCCACTTACTCTGTGCTAGGTTTTTATTTGTGGTGCTTAAAGCCTATAGCGTAAGCATGTCTGGTCGTGGTAAAGGCGGCAAGGGTTTGGGAAAAGGGGGCGCTAAGCGCCACCGTAAAGTGCTCCGTGATAACATTCAAGGAATCACGAAGCCGGCTATTCGCCGTTTGGCGCGCCGCGGTGGCGTCAAGCGTATTTCGGGCTTGATCTATGAAGAAACTCGCGGAGTGCTGAAGGTGTTTCTGGAGAACGTGATTCGCGATGCTGTCACTTACACCGAACACGCTAAGCGGAAGACTGTCACTGCCATGGACGTGGTCTATGCTCTGAAACGCCAGGGTCGCACTCTGTACGGCTTCGGCGGCTAAGTTTTTCCTCTCACACCAAAACCATAAAAGGCTCTTTTAAGAGCCACCCACACTTTCACAACGAGAGCTCAATTACTAGTGGTGTCTTCTAAAGCTGTTTAAGGGTATTCTATTTCCTCACGTGACCTAAATCATACATTATATAAGGACGCATTTATTTTCTTTCACGGCTGAAAGGAGAGGACTAAGGCTGGGATGACGTTTTTGTTTTCCCCTGAGAACCTGTTTCAGCTTTCTGGCTAACAGGACCCGGGTTTCCTACATAGTCCTTTGCCTGGCAGCTTATGAAACGCCACGAGAAAGCTGCAGTAAAGTCCCCTACAACCGGGAACACTAACCTCCGATTTGTGCCGCCCTCCCCCCGTTTGTTGGGAGGGGAGAGACTTCCCACGGTGTTCCCCGAGGCCATATGTTTCATGCACTTTCAAATCTTGTAGAGAAGATACGGAGGGCATGAGATGTCAATAGAAAACCTCTTTGAGAATTACAACTCGTAAGCATTTAAGATATCTTGTCTCCTCTGAAGCTTAAGACAGGACTGAATGACAAAAAGGTTCTTCATGAGGAGGCAGCGCTCCTCGTTCCGAGAGAAATGAATTGTTGGATACTGGTAGCAGTGAGTGTCACCTTCTAAAAGCTATGTATGTAAAGAAGGCACGCCCAGGAGAACGAAGCGACTTTTCTATGCAATTGGCATATCCTGTGGCTTCGCTCTTACCCTTCGGGGATTCGTGCCCCGCTCATGCTTAATTAAGGTTGCTCGTATGTAAGTTACGGCGAAGATGGGGGAATAATGTTTGGTCTCAAGAAACACCCGTTTGGAAGCGAAATAACAAGGTGCCGAAACATCACTTTAAATGGGGGGGGGGGGGAGAGGGGGAACTAGACGGTGAGGGAGTGGGAGGCGGAGTCTCGGAGAGAGGGAACCGTAAGAAACCGACTATGGGGAGATTCACAGAGCGCGAATTTCAGCGACCTGACCGTTGAAAGCCGGTTTAGAGACTTGTCTGAACTGAACAGGACTGGGAAAAGGCGTGTCCGATTTTTGCTGCACCAGGCGCGGGCTTTTCAAATGTTCAAATCGTCCAATGATAGCTGGCTCCATCTCAACAACCAATCGAAAAGGAGTGCTTGCCTATAAATACCGCCTGAGCCGAGGGGGTTTTATCTTAATTCTGTCTATTTGCCTGACAGTTGTAAGTGAGGGTCAGGGTTGCTGAAAATGGCCAGGACCAAGCAGACCGCCCGTAAGTCAACCGGTGGCAAAGCCCCCCGTAAGCAGCTGGCCACTAAAGCTGCTCGAAAGAGCGCGCCTGCCACTGGGGGAGTGAAAAAGCCTCATCGGTATCGCCCCGGTACCGTCGCCCTGCGAGAAATCCAGTGTGGATCTCACGGAAAGCGATGGTTGAGCGCGTGTTGTAATGAGCCAGGCGAGAGGCTTCCCCCCTCGCAATGCACTCGAAAATGTCATTTACAAAGGAGTTCATGATGACCATGGCCTTGGAAGAAATGCCGGTGTCCTGGGTGAGCTTGTTTTAGCACATTGTACGTGTAGATAGAGTAGCTTTCCTTCCTGCTCTTCCTTCGTTTCTTATCGCTCTTCTGAGTTTTAATAACAAGCTTTTTTTAGAGCCTCTCTTAGGAGCGGGAACAGATTTTGCTGGTTCAGACATTTTGATAAAAGTATCCGCTGTATCTATATACTCTGCCTCAATCCCTGAAATCCTAACAAGAGCACATTTTTAAAAAGCGACGACCCCTCTACTTATGGAAGCCTTCACACTCCAAAAGAGCTGTACCACACTCGTCTTTTCAGCAAGATTCCTGTCAGCTCATCTATAAGGTTTTGTATTCTGCTCATTCTTTCCAGGTGGTGGGAGTTTCAGAGTATTCTTTCAATATTTTATTTTTCACACAGCACTATTTTACCGACGAAAACATCTTTTGCTCCTTTGCCATTTTTGAGATAAATGCATATAATGTGTTTTCATAGGGGAAACCCATTTAATCTGATGGTATTTCTTCTTTAAATTCATGATTGTGTGAGCCATATGAAAGCTCGTTTTTAAAGTTAGGCGAACACGACTATCCTTAAAACAGGTACAGGTTAGTAAATAAAAAAAGAATTCAGAGGCCCATATGCAAGAACAATATGCCTAAATTTGTTACACGAGTCCATCAGCACCATTGGAAACACGAGACTCCCTCTGCTTATGTATATAATCATGGTGCTACGTAGATTTACTCCAAATCTTGTTACTAAAAAAATGATTTTAAGTTTACACTTCTCCCCCTGGGAATGTGCACTGCTACCTTCCTTTAGGTAAACTGTCATGTGCCCTGCTTAAACCACAAAAGCGATAGAGGCAATAAAAGGAGATAAGAAAAAATTAAAGGTACTTCACGACCCAGATAGAATATGGAAATGCTTATGGAGGAGGCTGATGAACAATATGTTCTTTACAGAATGAAGCCTGTTCCTGGTGGCTGGAGCGGGTCTAGTCTGAAATGTATACACTGACACACAACATAGAGCTCACAAAAGAGCCTCAAGCATAGTCTCCCAAAGTTGCATACAGAGTCACAATAACTTCATAGCCGGCTAGTGAACAGGAGGGGCTAGCTACACTGCTATAAATCAGGCCCAGAAAATATGAATATTGAGTATGAAATATACATAAGTCACTAACTTAACTGGACAGGAATGGTGCTGAAAAGACGAGTGTGGTACAGCTCCTTTGCAGTGTGAATGTAGTGGCTCTTAAAAGAGCCTTTGGATCTTTCGCGATAGTTTTCTTGTTGCCAAAAGGAGTTAAGCTTTTAAGCCCTCTCACCACGGATACGGCGAGCTAACTGGATGTCCTTGGGCATGATGGTGACTCGCTTAGCGTGAATGGCGCACAGGTTGGTGTCCTCAAAGAGCCCGACCAAGTAGGCTTCGCTCGCCTCCTGCAGGGCCATAACGGCCGAGCTCTGGAAACGCAAGTCGGTCTTGAAGTCCTGGGCGATTTCTCGCACCAGGCGCTGGAAGGGCAGCTTGCGGATCAGCAGCTCGGTAGATTTCTGGTAGCGGCGGATTTCTCGCAGGGCGACGGTACCGGGGCGATACCGATGAGGCTTTTTCACTCCCCCGGTGGCAGGCGCGCTCTTTGCTTTGCCACCGGTTGACTTACGGGCGGTCTGCTTGGTCCTGGCCATTTTCAGCAACCCTGACCCTCACTTACAACTGTCAGGCAAATAGACAGAATTAAGATAAAACCCCCTCGGCTCAGGCGGTATTTATAGGCAAGCACTCCTTTTCGATTGGTTGTTGAGATGGAGCCAGCTATCATTGGACGATTTGAACATTTGAAAAGCCCGCGCCTGGTGCAGCAAAAATCGGACACGCCTTTTCCCAGTCCTGTTCAGTTCAGACAAGTCTCTAAACCGGCTTTCAACGGTCAGGTCGCTGAAATTCGCGCTCTGTGAATCTCCCCATAGTCGGTTTCTTACGGTTCCCTCTCTCCGAGACTCCGCCTCCCACTCCCTCACCGTCTAGTTCCCCCTCTCCCCCCCCCCCCCATTTAAAGTGATGTTTCGGCACCTTGTTATTTCGCTTCCAAACGGGTGTTTCTTGAGACCAAACATTATTCCCCCATCTTCGCCGTAACTTACATACGAGCAACCTTAATTAAGCATGAGCGGGGCACGAATCCCCGAAGGGTAAGAGCGAAGCCACAGGATATGCCAATTGCATAGAAAAGTCGCTTCGTTCTCCTGGGCGTGCCTTCTTTACATACATAGCTTTTAGAAGGTGACACTCACTGCTACCAGTATCCAACAATTCATTTCTCTCGGAACGAGGAGCGCTGCCTCCTCATGAAGAACCTTTTTGTCATTCAGTCCTGTCTTAAGCTTCAGAGGAGACAAGATATCTTAAATGCTTACGAGTTGTAATTCTCAAAGAGGTTTTCTATTGACATCTCATGCCCTCCGTATCTTCTCTACAAGATTTGAAAGTGCATGAAACATATGGCCTCGGGGAACACCGTGGGAAGTCTCTCCCCTCCCAACAAACGGGGGGAGGGCGGCACAAATCGGAGGTTAGTGTTCCCGGTTGTAGGGGACTTTACTGCAGCTTTCTCGTGGCGTTTCATAAGCTGCCAGGCAAAGGACTATGTAGGAAACCCGGGTCCTGTTAGCCAGAAAGCTGAAACAGGTTCTCAGGGGAAAACAAAAACGTCATCCCAGCCTTAGTCCTCTCCTTTCAGCCGTGAAAGAAAATAAATGCGTCCTTATATAATGTATGATTTAGGTCACGTGAGGAAATAGAATACCCTTAAACAGCTTTAGAAGACACCACTAGTAATTGAGCTCTCGTTGTGAAAGTGTGGGTGGCTCTTAAAAGAGCCTTTTATGGTTTTGGTGTGAGAGGAAAAACTTAGCCGCCGAAGCCGTACAGAGTGCGACCCTGGCGTTTCAGAGCATAGACCACGTCCATGGCAGTGACAGTCTTCCGCTTAGCGTGTTCGGTGTAAGTGACAGCATCGCGAATCACGTTCTCCAGAAACACCTTCAGCACTCCGCGAGTTTCTTCATAGATCAAGCCCGAAATACGCTTGACGCCACCGCGGCGCGCCAAACGGCGAATAGCCGGCTTCGTGATTCCTTGAATGTTATCACGGAGCACTTTACGGTGGCGCTTAGCGCCCCCTTTTCCCAAACCCTTGCCGCCTTTACCACGACCAGACATGCTTACGCTATAGGCTTTAAGCACCACAAATAAAAACCTAGCACAGAGTAAGTGGCTTCAGTTCGCTGTACTCGCTGTATATTATCTGGGAGCCGACCTGATTGAGAACCGTGAAGGAAAGGGGCGGAGCATGGACCCTGTTTTCCACCTCACCGCCCTGCCTCCGGCTGCCTGAGGAGGGCGAGTTTTACAAGAAAAAAGGCGGGCTGTTCAGCCTGCTCTCTTCCCCACCCTTCCCTTCTCCACTCGCCATTGTTGGCGCGCTGCTCTAAGTGACACTCCCCAAGATTTGAGTTTTTAAAAAAGAGATAAAATAGATAGATTCGACGCGATCGAGGATAAGTCCTTCGTTTGTAATATCGAGATACACTATCAGAGCTAGACGATCACTAGGACCCTTTCCGGCCTTGGAATCCA